GGATCTTTGCAGAAGGCAAGGTGTTGGTGAACGTTCGTGCATTGGGTACTGGCTGGACTTGTCGCTGCCTGTTTCGTGTTCGGCATTGGTTTGGGATCTGCAGGTTACTGTTCCTGATCGTGTGTGTTTTTGACTCAGATTGGATTTTCGTGAGTGTGGATTTCTCCCTTCCAGGACCTTGGACCAGCTTGACTACAACGTTGCTTCTGTGGACTTTGGAGTTTCGCTATTTCGGATTTCTCCTGCTACGACCCTGGACTTCGCCTGACTACGCTTCTCTCCCTGCGGCTTCACTCCTTTGGTTTACCAGTTGCATTCTGTGCCTTCTTTGTGTGACCTCGGAGTACTGTGTTTGATTCGGTTATTTTAGCCATTTAATCTGGATTATATTTCTGTTTACCTTTTGAACCAGGTTTGATTTTACATTTGAGTTTTGACCAGAGGCATTGAGTTTAAGTGTCTCTGTATCCTTTTCCTTTGCTTCAATAAACTCTGTTTTGGAACTAACTCTGAGTCTGGCCCTTTAAGGCATCTGTGATTCCGACATTCAGTCTTTAGTTTGAGACTTTTCTGTTACCCAGTTTCCAAGGCACATAGTTTGAAGAGAGTTGTTATTGACAGTATTACTGGAATTTTTATCATCCTAAAATTTGGGAATGGCCGCAGGTGACTTGTCCATATTGGTGGGATGATAATCTGCTCCACATTTTAGCCTGAACTGAGTTTTCCAAGATGCTGGACTCAATTCCCATAAAAGATTCAGGTCTTGGATAATCTCTCTGAAATTCAGACTAAAATCCGGTCTGGATTCCTGCTGCACAGGCATGTAAACTATAAACTAGAACTGTTATTTGATGTCATTAGCCCTGTGTCATTTCAAATTTAAATATTCCTAGATCAGTGGATCAAGAACAAAAATTTTCAGGTTATGGGACCCTTTAGGTCGTTAAACACGATTGCTCCCAGGTTAAGTCCCCCTCCAGAAAGTGCCAGGTGCCCTTCCAGAACCTTCCAGAGTGCATTCTGGAATACTCATTTTATGCCCCACATTAAAGAAGCAGGAGCTTGTGCTTCTAAGGGGCTCTCTGGATGACCCTTAGGAATTGCATGGATGGTGAAATAATCAATCAAAAACCAAAAAAGGCAGGCAGGCAGGCAGGCAAGACTTCAAGTAGCTAGAAAAGCCACTCTTTCTGAAAAATTGAGTTTTAAAAAATATGAAAAGTATCAATGGCATGTGCTGCAATCTATATAAGATGTGAATTGCCAAGGTATAGAATTCACACTTTTTTACCATAAAAAGAGTAACTTCGGGGATTTTGGAGATATATTGGGGGATACAAAAACAACCTGGGGAGGAGGCAAGTGGCTACAGAGCTAAACTTTGTCCACTCATGTTTTAAATAGATCTAATCTTTCGCTTATATAAACTAACAAGTTCCATTACACCTTGCTATTACACTCCCTTCCTTCAGGCCTTATAGTTTGCTAAGATTAACTCAGCACTTTCCTTTAATCTGTTTTGCTTTTAGAAATATATTTTCCTTGACCAAGTGTCTCATTCTCTTAACCACAAAAGAAAAAAAAACATCACCCTGCTCTCCATTTGTTTGTCTTTAGTAACAAGCTAAATAATACTATTGCTAATAAACATTTTAATTTCCAGACACTTAACTATACAATTAAAATTAGTCATACAAATGAGTCAATAGTACTGTTTGTGTAAAGAGAGCCACATATGTAAATATCAGCTGAATCAAAATCTCAACATAAAAACATACATGCTGTTCCTAAAATGGGCGTACGGTTTTCTTTTGGAAGGATGGGGGATAATATGAGCAAATGGCCAATTAAGTAATTCTACTGATGATATGATACGGAGTTGCATACTTTTCAGCTATTCCTATTTGGCAGGGACCTCTGCCATTCCACTTCTTTCATCTGCCATTAAAATATCCCAGTTTCTCTCTGTCCTCCAACTTCCCCACTTAGCTTGTCCTCAGATTACTTTGGCTGCTTCTAACTAAATTTGAAGGGCAAAAGTAATTTCACTCAATCAGAAAGAGGAGAGAAGGAACAAAACTTGCTCTTCCCTGTTACTCTAGCACAGTGGTTCCCAACCTTTTTTTGACCAGGGACCACACTCTAGTATTAGTAACAAAAGGATTATGAATCAGTTTTTGGTCAACTTTAGATTCGGTTTGGTTATTTGGGGTGCTGATTCAGAAAATTGCATTGGATAGACCACATCAGCTCTAGTTTCTGATATAGAGCATATTCCATCCAGTAGTCACCCACAGAAAACCATATTTAATAAGCCTCAGCACTATAAGAGGGTTTCGCAAGACTGGCTACTCTCGTTGGAATGGTGTAGTAACGGTGAGGCCGCGAACCATATTCTAGTTCTTGAGGACCACTGGTGGTCCACGGACCACAGATTGGGACCTGTGCTCTCATGAAAGCATACTGTTGCATCCTCTCTAGTTTGTGTGTTTTCCCCATTAATAACGGTTACCATCTTGACCACACTCTGATGTTACCTGGCTGCATGTGCTCTGGTTTTCATTTGTGAAATCTTGGAGGGTATGGAGTTGATGCTTTAAGACTATAAGCAATTTGTGTTGAACTTCTTATTATGTATATCAAAATGTATTTACAAATACTGGGCAGAATCCTAAAATTGCTTAGAATGGGCTGGTCTGATACTTTCTAGCATCTACATCTTTGTTATGCAAGCAAAAAATTCAAGTGGCAACAAACAGAAGAGAGCAACCCAGGCCACATACTGCATATGCACACCTTTGCTAGAGGAGGAGACCCAATGGCTTTTACCAGAGACTGGCTAAATTTAGAGTGAGGTTCTGCTTACGGGCTGCAGCATAACTATGGGTGCAACTACACTGTAGAATTAATACAACATGACACCACTTTAACTGCCATGGCTCAATGCTATGGGGTCATGGGAATTAAAATCTCACAAGGTCATTAGCCTTCTCTGTGAAATAGAGCTGACACCTCAACAAGCTAAACTTCCATTATTCCATAGCACTGCAACATGACATTTAAAGAAATATCAAGCTGCATTATTTCTTCAGTGTAGATGGATGCAGATTGGCAGAGCTCTCTACTCTAAGGGATCCTTTACTTCACACATATTCAGTGTTGCTGGAGAACAACATGTGGACTGAAGAGCTTTTGCAAAATAGAAGGAATGCTAGGGAAATTAGTAACAATTCATGTAATATATCTGGTAGTATAGTAACTTAAAACACCTACATGTAATAAAACTGACGGAGATATATTACTCTACTGATAGTGTTCTTGGAAGGTACAGTGGGCAGAAATACTTAGGGCAGTGCCATTTTTAAAGTCTATCCTTGTGTAGCGAGAATGATGAAAACTCTTGATGTCATTATTAACAAAAGCAACATGCCCATGGAACAGCTGAGCACCAGCAGCATTTTTTAAGCTTGTCTAAAATGTCCTATTTTAAAAGCTTTTGAAACATTCCTATGACAACCATACAAAGATCCTAGAATCATAGAGTTGGAAGAGGCCTTGTGGATCATCCAATCCAACACCTTGCCAAGAAGCAGGAAAATTGCATTCAAAGCATCCCCCAACAGATAGCCATTCAGCCTCAATTTTATCTTTGCTGTCTTGCGTAAGTTGTATGGATGATAACTTTATGTGAAGACTAAGGATGTACAACTTCACAAGCTCTTGTAAGCCCATCTTTATTGGTGGGTTTTGCATATTTTAAAAGCAATCTATAAAGGCAGCAGGATTTGTATGTCTCAAAACATTAAAGAAGTGAACAACAAGCAATGGAAAAACCAAACAACTTGACATAGGTTGTTTCTCTCTCATCTTTGATTAAATAGAAAATCCATGGATTGTTTAAAAAAAAATCACTTTTTTTCAGGCTGCAATATTAGAAACAGTTATTTTTGTGACTCCAACAGTTACTCCACTGAACTCAACATTATCTATAGCAAAAATGCTCAGTATTGTACTGAAAATATGCTATTTCTTCCTAAGAGAAAGCAGCAAAGAAATCCAGCTGCCACCGTGCTGTGTCTTTTCTGAAATCAAAGCATATAACTCTTTCAAATATCCTCAAACTCCTTTCTTCTATGCTAATTTATTATTTAAGAAGTATTCCCCACTCCTATAAGTTCAAAGAGGCCAATGAACAAGAAACAGAAAGTAAACAGCTAATATCTCCTTTACAATTAAAAAGAACAAAAATGGATCACCTTAAAGAATTAAAACATCAGCAGGTAATAAAAAAGCAACAATAAATATTTGAAAATATTCAGAAAATAAAATCAGAAAAGGATTAAAAACAGAAAATTATAAATCTAATGTTTTCCTAAAGGGAAGCTGTTTTCAAACACCAAGATAGCCATAACTATGGGTGAGGCAGGCCTTCTCATACCCCCTCCTCCTTTTCATCCATCTCTTCCTTTTATCCTTTCCAACAAGACATTTTCTACCTTGAACTGGGAAGAGGATTCATAAGCTACCCTTTTGCAAACATCAGTATCAACTGTGTGGTCACTACTAGAATAGGTCAACAATCTTATTAATACATCACACACTATTTGGAGCATATCAAACACTCTTTAAAAAAAAGAATTCATTTTGTACAGTCACCAATGGGCAAACAAGAGGCAATATTGTGGAATGACAGTATGGGCAAAAAGGGAATCCGTACGAACCTAATGTCGGTTACCATAACTGAGCCAGGCAATTTGGAGAAATATGTTGTTTTTATCTTGTTGTTCTCATACACACATACTCACAGAGGGCCATACGCACACCACAAAAATAATACCATAACAGAAGGGTGCTGTATCTGTGTTTAAAGAAGAGGTTGTTGGCAAACAGCGCAGCTCCCTTCTGCTGAAATGTACACAACTGATATATGCAGCACAGAAAGCTGGCACCCAGGGCTTACAACCTTAATTTGCCTGCAAGAAGGAATGGAGATTTACCTTCAGAGCACGTTCTTGATTGTTTTCAGCAGTCAGATGTCTCATGTTGTTTGCAGAAGTCTGGTTCTGCTCTTTCATATGATGAAGCTCCTGCTCCAGCCGTTTGCACTGCAACGAGGAAAGAATCCCATTAAGTAAAGGAACCGGACATCTCCTGTTTTCTTCCCCCTTCAGCAAGCCAAATGAATTAATGTAAATAAAACTATTCTGTGTGTGTGGTGCTCGTATATGTATGTATACATATTTTTACTCCAAAATTTCAATTAGTGCAATAGTCTTCTATTTTTAATGTAAGTGTGTACATTATACATGTACACACTTACATGTCTGCAAGAAATAGAGTCCTAGCATTGATTCAAATTTTGGAATGAAATATCTTATGAGTCAGGATAGACAATGAACACAGAGTTGATTCTCTTGTGCTAAAATTAGTCACAAACAAAAATGCAAATTTAATATTTGAAAGAAGAATCCAAAAATATCAGAATGATGGCACATGAATTATAAGGAAAATTATTCTCCAAATCAGAAGACAAAGGTGATTAGTTAGAGAAAAATGTCCATATATACACATATATTTGACTATATAATGCTGAACTGAAATAAGGAGGCAGAGTGTTGTACACCATCTCAAAACAGCATCAAACAAAACTCTTTATACTTACTGCACAAACTATCATACACAGCTATGGGAAGCATTGGTTACATTAGAGTTTAATACTGTACCATCTACATAAAAAAAGCCAGGGTGGCATAGCAATTGAGAGTTGGACTATGACTTTGGAGATGTGGGTTGACTCCCCATTTGGTCATGGAAACCCATTTTCAACCCCAGAAAACCTTGTGATAGGGTCACCATAAACCGGAAATAACTTGAAGTCACACAACAACAACGACTAAGGAAGAAAAGTGATATTTTTGTGTGTGACAGGGAACATGTTTCAAATAATTAAACAACCAAAATGTAAGCCAAGATATTGTATATATTCTGAAGGTCACCTAACCAGCTTTTGAAAAGGGCCATTGTGGACATTGCCTGTGTATTTTTGGTTGAAGCAAAAATGATTCCAGAGAAATGAGTCCTAACAAGATTAAAAAAATTTAAGACTGAACCCGTGTACAAAGTCTAATGTAAGAGAGAAATCACAAAAACTAAGTGAGAGAAGAGTTTGTGAAAGCATAACGTTATATGAGATTAACACTGTAAATTTATTTGTACAGTGGTATGTCAACGCTTGTTAGTCACTGACAATAATGTACAAGCTTCACTTTTGGCCACTCGGCTGTGTGCAAACTGTCAAGTGAGTGACACATTTTTGGAAATATGCCAGAAACAAGTGGCAAATCCATTTTGGAGTACAACCTGATTTTTTTAGACACAAGATATAGGAGATTTCATGATATTTAACATACACATTGAGATTTTAACTGTTCGCTTTTGTAGGAACAAACCTACTTTTACCAATGTATAATAACAGTGCAGTAATAATGGAGTTGCACTGTAAGCAATTTTCAAAGAGACCAGAGATAGAATGCCAATGAGCAAGGCCAGGTTTTCGTGGAAACCAAGATATATTTTTCACATTGAAATATTTATTCACATAAGCAACATCCAGATGTGATGGCTGGCTAGAGTCCAATGTGCAGTTGCAAATACTTATGTCCTACTAAATCAGTGCTATTTAAACATTCTCAACTATGAACTGGATTGGAACAATTATAGATGTTATTTACCACACACTTGATACAGCATTTGCTTTCCACATTTGAAGAATCTCCTGAAACTCTACTAAGCATAAACCAGGTGTGAGAAAATTGCTGATCCTACACAGCCTCTACTATGACTTCTTCCATTGTTGTAGAGAATATCTATTCCAAATGGAATAGATATCTATTCCAAGTGGAACTCTCTGCCCCGGAGTGTGGTGGAGGCTCTTTCTTTGGAAGCTTTTAAACAGCGGCTGGATGGCCATCTGTCAGGGGTGATTTGAATGCAATATTCCTGCTTCTTGGCAGGGGGTTGGACTAGATGGCCCATGAGGTCTCTTCCAACTCTTTGATTCTATGAAATGACACAGAATGGATTTTTCAAGGGTTTGCAGGGAAGTGAGGAATCTGAAAAGAAATGCCTTTCATTAATGGAAGTACTCTGTTGTGAGCAGAAAGAGCACCTGTCCACAAGAGAGAAAACCCATTGGTTGCCACAGAATGCAACCACACCAATATGGAGTTGACCAAAGTGAATGCTTCCTGGAGTGGTTATTTAATAAACCAGTAAATATTTATGGGAGTCATCCTTATTGGATAGACATAACTAAAAATGTCCATGAATGAATGTGTTTAACATTACCTTGACACAGAAGTATCAACACTGTCATGTATCTTTCTCCATTGTGTGAAAACATATCATGTTCTTTTTTAGTGGAATTATTTGTACTGTTTGTTTATGTAGATTTCTACCAGCCAAAGCTGGTGGTTCTTACCTTCCCTCTCTGAATGCCAAAAAAGCAGTAACTGAGAGAATGTGTTGTCTTCCAGATTTGCTGGACTGCAACTCCTGTCATCCTTCATCATTACTTTTCTTGGCAAGGACTGTTGGAACTTGCATTCAACATTGAAAAGGTAGCATGTTCATCATTCCTGAGCCAACCCTTTGAATAACAAAACTTCTACTATTAACATTACTACTATGGGCCAGAATTCTCTTTTACAGTTTATGGTATGTAAATGTAAATGTAAACTTAACTACAGGGGAAACCCTTTTAGTGAATTATGAACAGGTACTGGCAAAAGTGTGCACAGGCTATGTCTAGCTGGTGTCCGGATGCACAATGAACCTATGCACATTGGTCATTTTGCTGACTCCTACATAGTAATGTAACAGCAGCTCTTACTAGACATAGACATTATGGAACTGTCCAGTTACAATGTCCACTTACAAGGATGTAACTCCCCAACAGGATTCTGAACATGAGTGTTATGATTTCTACATTTCTAAGCTTCAGGATTTTGTAATCCCATGATTATGACCAAAGATGGCAAGTTGAGGGTGCAAATGGATCCTTCTTTCAAGGAAGCAATTTATTAAATAAATAATAAAATGTAATGCCATGTGCATAAGCATCTTTCTATTCATTCTGATCAAGAGTACTTATTTATTTTGCTATTTTGCCTACACTCAGGGAGAGAGAAGAAATCAGGAGAGAAGTGTGTTGGTGTTTTGGGGGTCAGCACTTATTGCCCGCATGTACAGTTTGGATGTTGGTGTTTTTTCTTTATTTTTGGCTGTCTGCTTTCTCTGAGCACATGGTTGGAAGGGGTGAAACTTCTGCAGAGTCACTGACTTGGTTGAGCACAGTTAGCACAGTTAGCAGTCAATAATTTTATATAGCTTCCACCTTAGTCTTTGGAGCCCAGCAAACAGGAAGGGAAAAAGAAGAATTTCTGTGGGCACTTCATGGAAGACCTTAAGGGGAAGTCTGGACAGTTGTACCACCATGTTATGTGCTATGCTTGTTTTCTTATCAGAAGATATACTATCCTATACCTGAAGCAACTGCCTAGTTGGAGGGGAAGGTGCAGCAGCTTGAGGTCTGTGTATCTACACTTCAACTTACCAGGAAAGATGAAACTTTTTGAAAATTGTCATTTTGAAACAAAGGAAGAAGATAATTGAAAGATTGTGGCACCTAGAAACAGAATGATCAAGAGCCACTCTTAAAGCTTGGAGTTATACAATCAATTTCAAGTTATCCCCTTTATTGGCTCTATGGACTCCCAGAATCTCTGACTATTGGCTACAGTGGCTGAGGCTGCTGGGTGTTGAAGTCCAAAACACTTGGAGACCCACAGTTTAGGAATCACTGATGTGGTACAATGCAGGACTAGAAACTTTAATTCCACCATTCTCACTATACACCACATTGAAGAAGTATCCAATTACAAGAGGCATTGCAAATGAGCTGTAATACTCAAATCAGTCCAAACATAAAATAATATGTTTTAATATATTGACACAACAAATTTGATCCAATATTTCATGGTTAATTAGACTGGGAACAAAACACATTTCTGGATACACCCCCTTAATATCTTCTCCTTGCCTATTTGGCTTTAGCAAAGATACCCTGATGCCTTGAACTGTAATGTCCCATAAAGTACCCTCTTATAATATCAGAATTCGAATTTTCCAATGAAATGAATTAATATTGGCTCAAGACAAAGGGAAGTTAAGGACAAAATACATGTCCCCACTGTGCCTAATCAATTCAAAGAATTTGCTGATGTAGGATGTGGCAATAGCAGCAAGATTAGTTTTTATATTGATTCATGGGGAATGAGGTTGGTCAATGGTTGTGAGATCAGAGATGGTGGGAATAGCCATCTCCACAATGTTCTGATTGTAAACCTCTCAAGAGTGTCATCAACAAATAACCCACTTAAACTTTATCTTAGTTAGTCCACACTGCTGTTGTACAACTTTTGAAATGTTCGCAATTATGACAGTTAAAGCAAAATGAACATATAATTCCTAAAAACCTTGGGATTACATTTCTGTGAGCTTTTATTTCAAAGAGTGGCTAAAAAATAAATATTTGAACATCAAGGCAAGATGTTTCAGCTTCTGCCTTCATCAGCTTCTCCAACTTTTTGGCAGAGGTAAAAAAACGTCTTGCCATAAAATTCAGATATTCTTGTTTGGTTAGTTCCACTCAGTCTTGTCTGAAGTGCTCTCTGATGATTTAAAAATGGCTTTTTTATGTATGTGTGCATTCCAATCAATTCTTGAAGGAGAAGAGAATTGCGAGGAATGGCATAGAAACTATACTTTCCTGTAGACTTGCAACTCAATTGTCTAGTGGCAGACTTGCCACATCTAAATATGCACATTTTGTCTATCAGGAAAGAATGAGAAATGTCTCTCTACAGTTAGCACCTTTTAATTCTACTTCTCCATGTTGAAAATGTGTTAATTGTTGATTTCAATGCCTACGTGTTGGACCTTCAAACCATTCTGGGTCAGGATCATATCTAGGTGGAGGATTACCATATCTATTCTCGATCTGTTATCCTAATCCACAGAATAAAGGTGGGGCTACATTCCTATG